TGCAGAGAAGTCCTGGATGTGAGGGGACCGGGTAGCGGTCTGGCGTAGTGGCGTCGTCCACACGGCCTCTACGGTAGCCGGCAGGACGCTCCGCTGGGCTCCTGTGTCACAAAGGAGTCTGCGACCAGAGAGGGTGTCCCTGATGAACAGGAGCCGGTTGGATGTGCCCACGCTCGCGGCCACTACCGAGCGCAGGCCTTGGCGTTTCCCGTTACCTAGTAGGTGCAGGGAGGATGGCACATCTTCGCTTTCGCCCCGTAGCGTGCATGGTAATAACACAGGCCAGGGCTGGAGTTGCTGACGTCGGCCCCGGAGCTTCTGCTAGGTGGCATGCCTGTACCAGGGAAGGTGCTGCTGCGTGTCGGGGCCAGCACCTCCGGGGCAAAACGCTGGGTTGCCAGGAAGAACCGGTCGGCTTCTTCGGCCAAAGCGCGGGGCTCAGTAATAGCCGTGTTAGCGAGCGCTGTCTGTACATGCGGCGGCATGTGCCGAAGAAACAGTTATATGAACAAAAAATTAGGTTCTTCCGTACCCAGCAGGCTGAGCATCATCTCCATGTGGTCAGAAGGCTTGTTGTCCCCCAGGCTATGAATAGCGAGCAGGCGTCGGGCCCGGTCCGACCGTGACAGCTCGAAAGTCTTTAGCAGGAAAGCCTTGAACGCTGCATATTTATCCTGGGCAGGAGGAGATGCAATAAAGCCCACCGTCCGGGTCGCAGTGGAGCTCCCCAGCGCCGAAACAACGTGAAAATAGCATGCTGCGTCGTCAGTCACTCCGCGGAGGGCGAACTGAGCCTCCGCCTGAGCGAACCATGCAGCCGCAGATGTCTCCCAAAACTCCGGCAGTTTGAAAAAAACGGCGTTACTTGCCATGCTCGGTTCAGTCTCGGATCCTTCAACGAGACTTATGTCGGGGTCACCAATGTAGTGCCGAGAGACGGGAGTCGGAGGCGGGGTATTAAAGTTACAAGCTATACTTTTATTTAGCATCTGAACACACATGTAAACAACTTCATGCCGGGAAGCGAAGACCGGCGGAAACAGGAAGTCCGGCTCACTCAAATGTCCGTGCGGAACAATACCTCAACCCATAGATCCGTGGGTGAATAATGTCAATTACCACAAAACCACATTTAACTGTTAAGCTTTACAAGATCCCAATAGCAGGGTTTTGTTACCTTTGGTTAGAGACAGGCCACCCAAATATTTTTGGCAAAGAAGGAAGTCAGGTGCCGTATTGGGAAAAGGGTCGGTGTAGATATGCAAGTTGACTTACCTCCATGCTCCAAAATGGTGGAATGAGCTCCCCATTGAAATCAGGACAGCAGATAGCTTGCGCTTCTTCCGGCACAGACTTAAAACTCATCTCTTTCGACTCCACTTCGAGCGATAGAATTACTAACAAAGAATTGCTAACAAAGCACTTATATTATAATAAAGGACTGGCTTATCTAAAGCCAGTTGAGTAGCACTTGAAATGTTTTGGCTCTATGAAACCTGATATTTTCTTCAAGTTTGTCTAATTGTTGGTCGAATGCACTTATTGTAAGTCGCTTTGGATAAAAGTGTCAGCTAAATGCAATGTAATGTAATGTAACTTAGGTCGTAAACATACTTATATCGACCTCAACAATGACATTGTTCTTAACTTAACAAATCTGTTTTGTTTCAATTTAAAAGGGGAAGCAAGTGTTACAAAAAAGTGACTTAAGTTAGTCACTTTCCAATGTGCGGGTAGCTGCAGCTTATCTACAGCATAACAAAAGTAGTGATAACAACTGATAACGTCCATTCAATGGGCTGATAACATTTACAACTGTTGGCCTTGCAGGCTTTATGCTAAGCTAACTATCTAGCTATGGTTTTAACAGATAGTTTTAGTTCCCAAAATGTCAAACTTTTCCTTTAATTATTATTTTTAAACCAGAAGACAATATATGGAACTATTTAATCTCTTTTCTCACTACATTTCTCCACCCCAATGAGCCTGAAGTAACAATGAAATCATGTTTTCACTCAGACTCTTCTCACCTCATTGTGGGCCCCTTAGCACCAACCACTTAGATATTTGTATTCAAGGTGAAATAGCTTAAGCCGAGATGAAGGCTCAAAAAGCATCTACATGTTAAACAGTGATTAAAATTGCATAGATTTCAGACTTTAAGGTAGAAAATATTCAAATGTGGCGCACTGTGATTGAAGGAACTTGTGATTGGAGTTGTTTGCCGTTGTCTTCCAAACACTTTGTGCACCGCCCGACCCTCCTCCTCCTCTCACATTAACACGATTCTATCATTAACCCCCACGCCCCACCTACTGCATAATAGCTGGAGCTGGATGCAGGAAGCAGAGAATAACAATGTGTTCCCTTTCTCTTTTCTTGAGGAGCATCTTGAATGAATGATTGATGTTAGGGGAGCTACATCAGAAGGATATAATCACGGTCTAACGAATGCAGAGCCTTAAGAAATATATACTGGAGGAATGCCATAAATATATAAACACACCATATATTAATATATAAGTAGAGCAATGAATATTCAAAAAGAGGGAAATAATATAATCTATGCCCCTCCACGCAATGCATTATGTTTACCCAGGAAAAAGGTAACAACAGATTCCAGATTCAACCCACCTCTCTGTTTCCTCTACACCTCACAAGTTATTTTCCCCAACCCAAGATTAAACAAAGTCATGTTCATTGTCAGTGGCTAAACAAATAGCAATTCTCTGTGAGTGACATGTGTTTTGTGTGGAGATGTGCAACGCCAGCGATGGGAGATAACTTCATTTCCATGCTTTGAGCACAGATGAGGGGGAGACAGTTAGTCCATGTTCAGTATATGAGCACCTTTCATGGGACAAATGGAATGTCAATCAAGCGTCGGTACACAGATGCATTTTCCCGGTGGAGCCCGAGATGCTTTCTGGAGATGCAGCTCTGTTGTTCCAACTCTACTCTGGGTGCACTGGGAATATTTTGTCCTTTTACCCCTGCTCATCCCCTCGCTCCATCTCAGATCCCCTGGCTATTAACAATTCTTTCTGCTCCCCAAGTTTGCCTCTTTAGGCTTCCCCGATTTTCCACATTTATTCCTTTATTTTATCTTGTAGGCTACGTTAAGTTTCAGACTCTCAATTTGTCTTTTATTTCTTCTTTCTCTATTTAACCTCTCATGTATTTAGAATTTTTGTCCGTCTCTCCTTTTCTGACAATATTAGGGACTGTGCAAAAAAAAACTAAGGAAGGGGGAATGATATTCATATGTCATTATTATAGAACTTCTCTCAGACAACAAATATATTAATGGAAAACATGATAAAGAGATGCTAATCAAACAGTTATCTACAGAATGAGTGAGCTTGTCTCAATCGGCAACCCTGTCTCCTGGAAATAACCTATAATCTGCAACAGCATTTTTTTATGGAAAATAAATATCCACTGGATTATGCCTTATGAAATATTGCTCATTCACTTTAAAGCAAGTCTAAAACGTAAAGTAAAATTCTCTCTGACAGGGAGTTTTCTTTTTTTCCTGAAAAGTATCTAAGCTTACAATGCAGTATCCACTTTTAATGAATAAAGCATGCTTAGGAAATGTTCTTTCATAAAAAAAAGGTCAGTAACGCGCTCGGTCTCAAAATGAAAGATGTGGAAATCATGATACATGTTGCTTTAGCTTCATTCAAAAGTCACATTTGTAAGCTATTTGATAAATATTGTTTTTTTAACAATAAATCCCATCAAAAGCTAACCTCATCTCACTCATCATTTGTACCCAGTCCCTAACTCCTATCCTCCATATTTTGTGATTCTACCCCTAAAATTCTTTATTTCTGACACTTTTGCACAAAATATCCAATTATTTTTAACACCACAAACTACTCTAACATTTCCCCTATCCCTTGTGCACTTTACCTTCATCCACCCTATACAAAATAAATGTGGACCTAAAGGTGGATTGAGAAGAAATGTTTCCACTTCCGAGACTTTGATATTAAAAACATGACAAGCCATTCAGTTGGTAAAGGTGCTTACTCAAGGGAACGCAGAGTGTTTATTCTTTGATTAATTTGCTTGAAGGAGACCTGAAATCCCCCCACTCATGAATATGTGGATGACAAGGAGATTTCACTGTGGTGACAAGTTATCTAAACTACAGGGCAAAACGATTATGCTAATATCAGGATGTAGTCATCAATCATCTTGTGTCAATGTGGTGTCAAGGCATCACGTTCCCGATCCCCCCTCTGGCCATAGCACTGAGTGTAGGAGTGTGTTTATGGGACATGCAGATGTGTGTTTGTTTGGAAAAGAAAATTGATCACATTCTCATTACGCCTGGGGATTATTGGTGGGGTTGCTTTTGCGTTTGCGTGGAGCTGTTCTCCTGGATAACAGTTGGAAAAAAATGGGAGGGGATTAATTAGGTGAGTTTCTTCATCTTGATATGAACACCGGGCTACACACACACACACACACACACACACACACACACACACACACACACACACACACACGCGCACACACACACACACACACACACACGCACACACACACACCACACACACACACACACACACACACACACACCACACACACACAACACACACACACACACACACACACACACACACACACACACACACCGAGAGTCCGGGCTGACGTCAGATCGACGCGCCTTAAAACCAAAGAGCGCATAACAGGAAGATGCATGGTTTGATCACACACTCTCGCTTTGGATTGTAAGATAGCACGGATACAGTAGAAGCTGCAGTGGACGAGCTGAAAGGGAAGCCAGGAACTTGTATCGGTATTTTTCTCTTGGTGCGTAAAATGAAAGTGGCGCGTAAATGTCTGCGCGGTAGATGATATTTTTTTTAGAAGTTTACTTGAAAACTAAATTGTGAGCTAGCTTCAGAGAAAAAGTCTCCTTTTGGCACGGATGCAGTTGGATATTGCCCCAGGTCCGCGCTCCTGCTATTGATCTTATTTCAGCCATGGCTTACTCTCAGCTGGGATACTCCTACTCCACCACACCTCAGGTAGTCAAAATGTTGTTACATGTTTCCTTCAAGTTTTAACAGACGACATTTTACATTATTATTAGTAATTATCGATTGATTTATTTGACATTTTAGAAAAACTGAATGAGAAGATCTAAGGCGTATAGCCTCTTAAAACAAGGAAAGACCAAATAAAACACCAGTTGAAGAACTAGATTTGTACTGTAGATGTTTGTTTTTGCAGTTAACTACTACTAAATATACTTTTTATTGTACTGGTTTTCGAGAATGTGAACTTTCCTTTCTGTAACTTTCTCAATTGTAATGTTATGGGACAAATAAGCTTAATTTTGCATTTATCTTGCCAAAGTTTCTGATGACCCCCGGCTCTCTGGCCGGTTGTCTGGAGTCGGGAACTCCTCCGCCTCACACGGTGCTGCGCTCCCCGGCCCACCAGCTCACCTCTGGCCCCGGCATTGGAGTCTACAGCGGAACGTATCCAAAGAGCCAAGGTTACTATAACACCTGCTCCAGCGACGCCACCGCCCTCTACTCCAGAGTGAGTCCACTTCACGTTAATTGATACCATCATTTTCACTTTGGACAATGCGTAATTGCGCACAATAGTTCTGGCACAGGCGAGAGTGAAAACGAGTGACCCTGTATTTTTTTGAAGGCTGTATGTTATCAAGTAAAAAGGTGAATTCAGGATAAGTCATCCTTAAGTATCAGAGGGGATTTCTGTGAACAATATAACATCTGAATACATGTATATTTATATTAGTCATTTGATAATATTTTCAGGCACCACTAGATCCCAAAGATGGAGCTGCATCTGTGGGGACATCTCATACTCCTGGCTACTATCCCTATGAATATGCACTTGGACAATATCCATATGACAGATATGGGTAAGTGAAAGTCTTTTAAACCTTAAACTAAATGGTAATCTCTTCAATAAGAACTAATCACTCTCTAAAAAAAAATATTTCAACTGACTGCAGTGATGTTTGTAGAGACCTCCTATTTGCTGTTTTCTCTTGGCATCATTATATACATACTGGAATAGTACTGGTACAAGGATGTATACTTTTTTTAGGGAATTTATAGTATTGTCTCTCTACCAAGACATCTTTAATATATATTATTTAATTTAATTTAATTCATTTTATGTATTTATTTGATAAGGTTCATGAATACAAATACATTAATCTCAGAATAGAGAAGAGTTGATTTATGCCAGATTTGAGATAATGGTTCATTTCCATCTGCAGTCCTAAGGCAGACATAACAATCAACAAACACTAAAAACATTGCATAAAAGTCAATCGTTACCCATAAATTATAAGGCCTTTCCTAGTAAAAGCACTTATTGTTGATACGACACAGCTAAATAATATTACAATTGTTATCATTTCTCTCAGGTATTCCAGCTCTGACGGTGCTTCCCGTCGTAAAAACGCCACCCGAGAGACCACCAGCACCCTGAAGGCCTGGCTGCAGGAGCACCAGAAGAACCCCTACCCCACAAAGGGAGAGAAGATAATGCTCGCCATCATCACCCGGATGACCCTCACACAGGTAGCTTTCTGTTACATAAGAAAGTCACTCTGAAGTTTAGTTGCCTGAAAAATGTTGTCTTGTTTTTCAAGGTATTTAGCGTAATTTGCCCTTTCCTTGTTTTTTTTCTTTACACTACAGTATGTTTAACGTCCTATTTGTATTATTTTCTGTTCCTCTCTGACATGCCATCTCTCCCTCCTTCAGGTGTCAACGTGGTTTGCTAATGCACGCAGGAGGCTGAAGAAGGAGAACAAGGTTACGTGGTCACCGCGGCCTTGTAAAAGCTCTGATGACCGAGGCTGTGATGAAGACAGCGATGAAGCGGAGAAGCCACTTAAAAGTGACAAAGACCTTCCTGGTAAGCAAGACCTACTCAAATCAATCTGTCAATAGATTAGCATGTGCAGACTTCCTGTGATCTGTATGATTCATTATTGCAGATCAACAGTGTGCAGACCTGCAGAGCGACCTTGAGGACTTCGACCTCCTGGAGTCAGATGGTTCTGATTGTGAACCGAAGCCACAGTTTCTACGTGAGGACAGTGACGCAAACCCAAACACAGAACTCTCACACGGGCATCTCGCACACAACCCAGACAACACACGGCACGGAAAAGACAGATTGTCCCCAGACTGTCCCCAGACTGTCCAACAGCAAAACAATACCTTCTATGCTAATCCAGACCCTCGAAGTACAGAGAGCAAGCCCAAAATCTGGTCCATCGCTCACACTGCTGCGTCATTGGACGGCAGCTTGCAGCCAGAATACCCCCCCTGCATGCTGTCGTCGACCGGGTCCTTGTCTCCTGGGTATCCATCAAACATGGCGCTCACCAAGGCAGAGAGGGAACAGGAGTCGCCAGTCGCCTCGCTCAGAGAATGGGTGGACGGAGTTTTCCACGGTCCTCCTTTCCAGCAGCCCAAACCAGCTGATGTGTGGAAAGGCTTAAATGATGCCATGATAGACAGCCGGACAGTCCTTTGAACTTGTGAAGACTACGTCATCATTGTAGTCCAACCAACACATCATTGACGGAATATTTCAAAGACTGATGAACTTTAAAAAAACAATATATTCTGTCTATATTTTGTTGTCGTGACTTGAACCAATTCACCATTCGCAAATAGCTACCCCTCAGTTACTGTTGTTACGTCTGTCAAACTTCCATTTTCAAACAGCAAATTACCTTTAAAGTTTAACACATTTTTTAAATCAATGGGTCCAGACAGAAGTAGAAGAAAAGCCGCTCTCTCACAACCAGCAAACAACCATCGCATATGCCATCTGATATGCCATATAACAGACTTCCTCTAATGGCTAGCTTGCTAATTAACATAATGTTCAGACTGTTTCAATGTGTCTTAAATATGCATGGCCACATACAGTACCTGCTGTAATACTAAGAGAAAGAGATTTTAAAACTGTATGTACTCAGCAAAAAGTCAGCATATATTCACCAGTTGATGATCTAGGAAACATTTATCCATATGATAAAACATTATCCCAGGTATTGTTGACTCTTGGGTTTAAACTTCCCCAAATCTGGTCATGAGATGCTAACATTAGCCACACATTTAATTGCATATAATACTGACTTCCACACAATGCAATACAGTGGATATTCTAGTTGTTTAAAGCAACATTGTGACCAGCTAGAGGCATAAAGCAACATTGCAAACCCACCAATAATTATGGTTAATGCTAATTTATGATAAGTTCCTTGGCTTTGCAAGTCACTGTTCACTTTTAATTAGCCCTTAGCTAACTGGACACTCTAATGATTGCAGTGCAAAGCATTCAAACAGATTAATCTAGCGTATTTCTTAAACTTATGCTTGTGTTTTTGTGTTTCCAAGGTAAAAAAAAGACACCACTCTCCAAACTCTTAGCAGTATTTCTATTTCTCCAGTTCTATATGCATGTGGAAACAAGTTTGACAGAATTTTGCACGGTTACATTTGGTCTGATTGGCCAATGGTTATGTGGGGTAGGGGTTTAGCGAATGGTAAATTACCAATCCTATTTTGACATTTTGAAAGGCCCCAACCCTCTCCCAACTTGCTAACTCTTTTGGTCCCCATCTTTGGTTAAATGTCTTTGAGCAAACTGTGTCACCACACACATTCCTGCAGCAAGGTTGTACGGATCACACACACATGAAAAACATACAATATTGTACACTTGCACTATAGCCTGCACAAGCACTGAGTCACAAAAATAAAAGGTGTATTCCGTAGCATGGCAAAGATCTCTGAGTGTGCGCTTACATTAGCTGTCCACTGTGCAGGAACCATCAGTGGTATCAGTTGGGTTGATGTGAATCCTGTTTGGGAATAGTGAAATATACCTACACAGCTGTGGGTAAATGTGTGTGTGAGTGTTTGTGTGTATGTGTGTGTGTTTTGAGTGAGGGAAAAGGGGGGAAGTGGGTGGTATTCAGCCGTGACTAATGGAAACACACAGAGGAGGGTGCTGCTAAATTGTTAAATCGATGCCACTTCCACCTCGGCTCCAGATATAGCTGCAATCAGCGATGCGTCCCTTTTCATTAGGCGGCTTTTGACTTTGTCAACCTGGGACTGCAAGAAAATCCACCACGCACAAAATGCTTCATAAAACCTCTTAAGTAATTTTGAGTAAGTGTCACATCTTTATCCACTTCAGTGAGCTTTTCATACAACCCGTAATAAAAAACAGCATTGAAACAAACAGAGAAATAAGACTAGCATCATTAGGCCTAAATAATTTATAAAAAATAAATCCCCATCAACTTCAATTATTAAAGAAAACTTCACAAAATTAGCACTTTAACCAACACTTTCTGAAACAAAGCACAACAGGAAACAGTGAGAAGTTGTTGTTTTTTTTTCACCCCCCATCTTTTCCTGCTGTTTTCGATTTAGGAACAGTGATAAAGTATTTATCAGAACAGAGGAGGGATCTTCCTGGGCTTTGTATGGAATTAACCATTTCAGATTAAATAATTCAGGAAGAATTCAACCGAGAATTTCATTCTGTTTCTGCCTCATAAATAAGTCAGATTTAAGATGATAAATAATGACATCTGACTTCTTATTTCGGTAAAGTTTTCTTTCTTCCTCTCGCTGTCCGACAGGATCTCATTGTGGCTTACTGCAGATATATTTTCATGTTTTGGCTCAATTTCATTCCCTTTTCTATATAGGTTAAATGTACTTATATTGATACAATTTTGTTTTCTTTTAACAAAAAGCTTGAGGGTGGATTTCGCATCAAAGGAGGAGGTTGTGGTGTCATGAAGGATGTGGAATGGCACTCAGAAAAGAGGTTGACCTGGTGCTGAGTGGGGTTAACAGATATAAGGTTAGATGTGTTCTCACCTCTGGCTGTTTCAGACATGACTTGTCACTTGGGCAAAGAGCATGCGGAAAACTGCAAAAGTGCATACAGTATACTGTAAATCCACTGCAATCCACTGAGAAGCACTAAATCACACCTAACCTCTGGCTTTTAAAATAAGAATTAGTAACATGAAAAACCCTCAAATCTATATGGGTTTGATATGCAATTGTGTAAGTATTTAACTTTAAGTTTCCATTTTATCAATAATCTACCACATCCTTTTCAATAGATTTCCATGTTGAAGTCAGATCGAGTTTAAAGAGAAATACAAAATGTTCAATAACAGTTTTGAGGTACTCTTGGGAAGCTAAAAAACATTTAAATATCATGACGCATTTTCCGATTTCCAGATTTTCGAAAAAATGTAAGTCTGACATTCATTCTCATTTTAGTTCTTTTTTAACGGCAACTAACTTGCTTTCAAGCTCCGACCTACAGTATATGTTCCAAAGATGTGTAAAAAAGATGGCATGAACGTCAAAATTAGGAAAGTAAGCAAGTATAGAATTATGATGCAAAATACTGTAAAATTTAGACAAAGACAGTTTTTGGCTGGAATTTAACATGTTTCCTGGTGAGATGAACCCTCAATTCTCTCTTTTTACCTCCACATTCTTCCTCCACTGACAGCTGACACTTTATTGCCTCTTTATTCCTCATTCTTACCATCACCCATCTTCTTCCTCTTTTCCTTCACCCCACATCTCATTCCCCCTCCTCCATACCCTCCCACCCCCTTTGCCTCTCCCTTTCTCCTTCCCTCACCTCTGTCTGCTCTCCACACACAAGCAAGACACTCAGCAGCCACTCTGACAAGAAGGCCTGCTCTCTGGTCCATATAATGTGATTAAGCCTCAGTGTGTTGCTTTACAGGTCGGAGGGTGTAAGAGCCACTGTTTACTTGTCTGGCTCACACCACCAGGCATTGTGTGGCCTAAGGGAGAATTGACACAGGGTATAGGGGTGGTAGGCAAAGGGCACTCAAAAAAAGTTTTTTTTCAATTAATTGTTCAAACTACTCATCCTATACTCTGTGGCCCTTTTTCGTGAGTGAAAAGTCTGAAGGAATGTCTGCACAGGAAGTATTGACAACTTCAAATTACTCCTCTATGCACCCTCCGTCTGACACCTATTTCCTTTCAACACTGTCTGAGCCTCCCTGGCACGCTCACACACACACACACACACACACACACCCTGGCATACATATACACATAGTTCTAAGTCTCTTGCGTCTTGTCACACACACTTTGGTTTCCCGGGGCTATCAAAGTGCTGAGTGCAAACTCTCTCCTCCAAAAACTGTCACATGTCGCCAGAGGTGTCTCGCTCCCCGCGGTAACCCTCTGAGCTCCTGGCACAAGTACAAGTCATTATTTCCATGGTAAAGGTCAGAAGCTGTGTCACCTGACTCTGAAGTGGAGCAGTGTGGAGACGCCCCGAGACAACGACCAAAGGTCAGTTTCCTGTTGGCTTCTCATACAGTAAGTATAGATGTGAGGAGGACAGAGCTGATCCCAGATCTGCGTGCGAGCCCCTTTTGGTCACTGTGGCTTCTAAACGAGGAGGTTCAGATAATTGGCTGCAGGGAGCTCCATAATGAGCCTGAGGGTCTGTAATGTGACACATCTTCAAGGAGACATATTTTAATAGGGCAATTACGGCGTCAAGGAGGATGTTTTGTGTAGAGTGAGTGATTGTTGTGGAGGGGCGCTGTGTTAAGAAATTCAATGGCATTTAACTCCATTATCTATCGTGTGGCTCACCAGTGAGGAGACTTTAAATATCATTACAGTCTTATCTTTGAAAGGACTGAACAAACAGTGCAGGTCATATTAGGGTTAAAGGAACAGTTCACCCCAAATCACAAATGTATTTTTCTTCTCTTGTAGTTTTATTTCTCTATATCTAAAATGTATTTTGTTGGAAATGTGGTCTGAGAGATGTTTGCCTTCTCTCCGATATACTCAAACATCACTCAGCTTGTGGAGCTGTAATTGCAATACATAAATGTTTTCAAAGAGCAATGCCTATTTCCAGAAATCACAACTTGTTTAATCAAGATAATCAACAAACTTGGTGTGAGCAGTTTCATGTAGGAACTATTTTCTTTATACAGAACGACACCCGACAGTTGGATCCACCCGCAGAAGGAAGCCTGCATTTCCTCAGCTAGCTAAAGCTCATTTGAGGGAAAAGCCATTACATTTTACATATTGAGCTTTCAAGTAAACAAGCATCTTGTCCATGAGTAGATGCACATGTCCTGCATGGGCTATGATACGATTGCTGTGTGTAGAAAGAAAATAGTGACAATAAACTGGTCACCACGAGTATAGGGTTATGATTTCTGAGAAAAGAGACATTGATGGTGAGTTCTTCGAATATTTATTTGGCACTTTGAATACTGTAAGACAAATGCCATTTAGTACCATTATATTGGATAACAATCTCTATGGTCTATTTAGGGTGAACTGTCCCTTTAAGAGTTGTATTTGCAATTATATCTCATTATGCTGAAAGAAAGTGTGTAACTGGATGTAGACCCCTGCGGTGATTTGACAGTTTAAGGTTGAACCCATGAATGAGTCTGTGTGCAAATT